TATACATATATATACGTATATGTGCACATACACGCACTATACTGACAGTAATAAAAACGCAATATATATATATACATATACATATATATACGTATATGTGCACATACACGCACTATACTGACAGTAATAAAAATGCAATATATATATACATATATATATACATATATGTGCACATACACGCACTATACTGACAGTAATAAAAAAATGCAATATATATACACATACATATATATACATATACATATATATATATTGCGTTTTTATTACTGTCAATATAGTGCGTGTATGTGCACATTTATGTATATATATGTATGTGTATATATATATATATACAGTTTATATAAATATATATACATATACATATAAATATACATATACATATATATACATATATGAGCACATACACGCACTATATTGACAGTAATAAAAATGCAATATATAAATATACATATACATATATATATACATATTTATATATGTTCTACTTTCCCTCCTTCAGTACATCGCAGATTTTTGTTTTAATCCGATCTCACAAAATATAGCAAAAAATAAAGGGTAAATATATACGTAAATAATATAACTCACCTTTACTTTGTGGTTTTTCCCCAGTGGGTCTATTGTAAAAGGAACACACACAAACACCTGCAACTTCATGAACGTTGTGTTCGTCCAAATGGTCAGAGGAGTGTTTACCTGTTACACCAGTCCATGGCCGAGGTGTGTGTGTGTGTGAATCCAACCGTTTGTTCTGATTCACTCAGCAGTCTTCTCGTGTTTCTGCAAAAAGCACAAAATATTTCAGGCCATTTGCCCGAGGACACACAGGGGATCAGTGCAGTGAAAAGTTACTCACCTCCACGTGGAATATTTAGTGAAGTTTTCCTTCGGCATAATCCTACTCACTCACTTACCAGTCCATGGCCGAGGTGTGTGTGTGAATCCAACCGGTTGTTCTGATTCACTCAGCAGTCTTCTCGTGTTTCTGCAAAAAGCACAAAATATTTCAGGCCATTTGCCCGAGGACACACAGGGGATCAGTGCAGTGAAAAGTTACTCACCTCCACGTGGAATATTTAGTGAAGTTTTCCTTCGGCATAATCCTACTCACTCACTTTTTTTTTCCTCAGAAAAAGAAATAAAACAAAATAAAAAAAAAAATTCCAGAGAAAACATGTGAGGCCATACTATAACACTCGTCGTCATATATATATATATATAGGATTTATTTACATTTTTTATTTACAGATAATTGTTTCAAAATCTTCTCTGTACACATTTTTAATTCAACAACCACTACTCCAGTTACCCACAATGCTCCAGTATGATCAGACGTTACCCAGTGGTTACCCAGAGGCAAATCACACGGGAAGATTAATGTTAAAGCCCCACATTTGGTTTTCATGTTTTCAAGATGAACAGGAATAAAAATGGCTGAAAACATCACCATCAGGACTCCCTCCTGGCTACTTCACTGACGCTCATGTGCTGATTCACGTTCATCCAGAAAAATCAAACCCTTTTGGCCAAAGAACCCCCCCCGCCCCCCAACTTTATCACCACTTTACAACCCAGACCTGTGAGAACAGATTATCCCACTGCAGGAAACTGAAACTAAAACATTGCCCTAACTATAAAATTAAAATTAGTATTAGAAAAGTAAGTCAAGGTACATGGAAAAAAAATGTATATTTTTGGCTCATATAGTGACACTGTGCACTATAGATATATATATATATATATATACCGTACATATACAGTATACATAAATATATGTATATACACAAATATGTCACATATGTCACATTCAAAGATTTCAGACATTATAAAGTTACGTTTTTACGATCCAAATATATACATAAACATACATATATACATATACATAAATGTATATATGTATACACAGATATTATATATTTATATATTTGGATAAAAAAACGTAACTCAAATAATGTCTGAAATCTTTGAATGTGACATATGTGACATATTTGTGTATATGTACATATATACATATATATGTGTATATATACATATATATGTGCATATGTATATATACATATATGTATATATATGTGTATATATATATATATATCTGCTCCTATTCCCCCATTGAGACAGTGTAGGAGTGTAGAAGGAGTGTATCTTGCCTCAAGATGTTTGGTGTGTGTTATTCCTGTCTCTACACACACACACACACACACACACAGACACCTGACAGACTGTCATGACAACAGGGTCAGGCTGTTCAACAGTTGAATGTGCCACTGTAATAATTGATCAAATCCCTGTTTTCTCACAGGCAGCTTTTTCTTTGTTAAAGGGAAACTACTCTGTGTGGCATGATGGGAAAAAATTAATTAAAAGGGGTCACATGACTTCACCTAATGAGGTTATTAAGGCAACATATTATTGTTAAAATGATGACACACACATGGTTAACAACAACAACATCAACAACAACACCAACAACAACAAAAAGACGATTACTTTCACTGCTGTTTCTGTTTCTGTTCTAGTCTCGACACACACTCCAACTACAGTGACAACGATGGCAGAAAATGGCTGATAGAACTCCGACGTCTTTTCTCTTGTAGCCCGTAGCTGTAAAGTTAATTGCCTATCTTTTATGGGAAGGTTTTATGACCTGGATAGTTTCGCAGACTTCTCTCTAAATGGCGACACCCAGTCTCCAGAAACGTTGGTACACTTCTTATATATGTGATGAAAGATATTTAGTCTGAATATTGGTGATTTATGTGATCATTGATGACCACATTTCTTCTTCTCTGTTGTATTATATAATATTTGGAAACTGAAAAAATTACTAAAATGAT